CAAGACAAATGACACATTTTTTAATCAAAAGCAAGATAAATGAACATACTTTCAGATGGTATCTATATCTCCATATACCCAAAAATTAACGTGCACCCGATTCTACCCCGTCATGACTCATTAACATGGCTTGAAGAAAAGAAATCAGTACCATATAACGCAGTTAGCTTGTTTTCTGTAGTCATAGTGGGTAGTCGTCTTGATAAAAACTCTAATGTTTGGATTTGTGAGAAAATATTTTATAGAATTTTTGTATCTTGCTCGTTTTAAGATAAGATATTTCCACTCTATAAAACGCATTTGTAGTTCCTACCATTGCGCTCAGAAGAGCGTAAAATGTTTATATTAAAAGAAAATAGGAACAGGAATGTCTAGCGTATGGTCATCTCCGTAAACTGCTGAATCTACATAAAAATATTAAAAAATGAGCAAATTAAATAGAGAGCTGATGAAAATGTCTTGGAGTTTGAGGACACCAGAAAGATATACCGATACCCCTGACTTTATGTCCCTACCTAACCCCCCCCCCTTCCTCTCCCCCACCCAAAGCATTCAACGACCAATGCTGCTGCTCGGTGACATTCAGGAACACAAAACCATATTAAGTATATTTTATGTATTGTACTACACGTTCCTTAGTATTTACATACATATGAAACTATGGTCACTTAAAACGACACTAGACCATTGTGAAAGAGAAGCTTGAAGGAAGAATGCTGTACCGTCGGGACTTCACAATCACAACATGTAGATCTAGACAGACATTGAAAACAACAGGAGCCAGACACGACTGTACCGGTGGACGTACTCTTTATTACTGACCAGTAGTGACCACTCTTCTCTAAAATACGTGCCAGTGGTTACAAATGCCAGGTCTTCCTAAATACTAAGGCAATAGAGGTGGTTTGCCTAATAGTAATGGACATTACAAATGCTGTGGGGCAGTAGAGCCAGGTGTAGATAAAGAGTAACGTGGATGGACTACATTAAAATATGGACTGGTTTGGATATAGCAGAAGTGTGCAACATCAGCTCCAAACCGTGAAGAATGGAGGGTCATTACAGAAATGACACTTTCAGGTGTTAAAGATATGATTATTATAGTTGCTGTTATTTGTTCTCTATCACGCTCGAAAACTGAAGTTAATGCAGTTTCCAGGATTCCAGGAGTAAAAGTTCATTTAAAATTATTTCTAATCGAAATAATGCGAAACCAATCCTAAACCAAAAGTGGAAAGAGAAGAGTAAGAATAGCCACCTGGACACCCCCCCCCCCTGTCCCTCTCTCCGAAAAAAGAAAAGGACATACCTGGGCACCCATACTCCTGAACATCGTGTTCGTGTTGGAAGAATATAAGTCCATCGGATTCTTCGATGCTGCATGTCGGGCAAACCCAAAAGGTGCCATGGTCAGAAGCCCTGATGTTGTCTGGTATTCCAGGAAGATTGTTGGACAAGGGAGTGACTGACAGAAACGTGTTTGTTTCCAGACTGACACTGTTGAGGAAAGACAGATTATGATTGCCGGAAAAAGGGAAATAACGTAAAGAAAAAGTAAGTAAATTAAAGTAAAGTACAGTAAAGTACAGTAAAGAACAATATTTTAGCAGTACTTGTCCACAAAGCAAAGTCTGTCGTCTTTCTGGCATTACCTGACCACCCTGACTTGGGTTGACTCCACGACTAGCAAGTTCTTCTCGTCTGACGTCAGTTCAAGGCCATTGGGGAAGGAAAACTTGGGGCGTAGCTGGTTCACTGCTCCAGAGCTAGGGATGAAGGCGATGAGCCTGAGAACAGAAATGTGAGAGTACAGATAAAAATTATAGTAAACATTTATATATTGCAATGAAAACATGCCCTTTTCTCTTTAAATTTAAATTTATGTTTTTATGCCTCATCAACAAAAACAACAGCAGCATCAACAACAACAACAACAACAACAACAACAACAACAACAACAACAACAACAAATACTACTACTACTACTACTACTACTACTACTACTACTACTACTAGTACTACTACTACTACTACAACTACTACTACTACTACGACTACGACTACGACTACGACTACGACTACTACTACTACTACTACTAATACTAATACTACTACTACTACTACTACTACTACTACGACTACTACTACTACTACTACAGCTGCCGACGACGCTGTTTGCCTTGCTAATGCCTTGTATTACCATTATTTGTATTTTACTCATTGTGTAATGATACATTTTTTTGAAATCACTGATATCTTTAATGATTTCAACAATATACAACTTATTCTTCCACAGCCATGGCATGTTGGTACATATATTTTTTTCACTTGCTCACAGAGAAAGAAAGAGACAGGACAACAAGATTCTGGAATGACTCTGAAAAGGACACCATCAGAGTCCACGTGCTGACTCTCCTCCAAGCCTCTTCTCAAGGCCATATAATATAAACTTCAACATTCTTATTCCCCTTAGACTATATAAACTGTATATTATGGAAACTCCTATTTTGGAGCCAACCCTTTCAGGTACACTCGACAAGTAAAACATTTTTTGTTTATTGTTTTAGTAAGAATGTTACGGCACTTGAGACACAATCATGTCGTAAAAGTGCGGAAGAGTTTAGATGTTACTAAAGAGTAACGAATACAAAAAAGGAAAGAGGGAGAGAAAAGGATAATAGAGCTTATACAAGAAAGAAGGAACAAACAGCTCCAGAGCACCCGCCAACCACCCACAATCCGGATGTTTCATGTGTCCTATATTGAGTACCTTCCGTCCGTCCTCCCCTCCATGCCGATGTAGATGTCGTTGTCAAAGTCGTGGCTGTCGCTGGAGTCGGACATGATGATGAAACCCTGTCTGGTGATGACGAAGTCGTTCAGGTGAACTGGCGCGCGACCGTTGACTGGGGTTTGACTTGAAAATAGTTGGCTTGTCTCTCCTGGAGATTGGTTTGCGAGAGCGACATTTTATCATTTAGAATATGTCTTTATTTAAGTATTTATTCGTTTTTTTATATATCTATTTATTTACTTATTTATTCATTTAAAAGAAATATTTAAAAGTTGGTTATTTTTCTATTTATATTTTTAAATTCATTTTCTCTTTTCTGGTGGAGGGGGGGGGGGGGGTTAGCATATTTGGCATCCCGCCAGT